CGTGATTCTCCTCGTAGAGGTATATACGTGCACTCGCGGGCAGCTAGCCTGTATTCATACCAGAAGGGTCGATCTACCAACAACATAATCTCTATCATTTTTGACTGCATACACTTAGTTATGAACTACGGTGTTCTTGATCAAGGTATTTCCTATGTCTATTCATATACCAATCCAGAGGTTGAGCTTGCATGAAAAGGTGGAATATCACGTCGATAACATTAATTCTGCAAGCTCAGGCCTGAGACGAACAAAGAGCTAGTCACGGGAGGCGCTAGATCTTTGGAGATTATACCAGTTGACAGAATAGTTCAGGAGATTAATGACTTTCTCAACAGACAACTGACACTAATTAAACTATAAACATCAGATTCTCTGATGTCGGGGCGACAAAATGATATAACTTCAGGCGCGATCAGAAACTCATGGATACCCCACGGACGACATAAAATACGCCACTCTAGCTGGCAAACTCGACACTCACTTCACTTGACACGTTCTACTAACGATACAGTTGAAGCATTCTACCCCACTCACAATGGATCTTGAATGTTCCAACTGTAAACAGACATATCTAAGTTGACTCAAAACAAGGGTGTTCTCCTCACACTCACATTCATTTTATAGAGAGGTTGGTTTCAGTAAGTCAGAGAAAATGGGATAACGGAGGACTGAGGTGTCTTGAAGTGATGAGAAAACGGACTTTCAGATGGAGGACTCAAACGAAAGCCGAGTTACATATTTGTGGGCTACTGGCAATGCGAACCTGACTTTGGCGTCAAACTGACGTGTACATCGGACATTACACTGTGTCTTAGTTATTACCTTAACACAGCCATACATAATGTTAACTCACCAGGAGGGAGGGAGGAAGGCCCACAAATTAACATTTACTAACAATAATAAACCAGACGACCACGTTAGTTGTACTGTGTCTTAGTTATTACCTTAACACAGCCATACATAATGTTAACTCACCAGGAGGGAGGAAGGAAGGCCCACAAATTAACATTTACTAACAATAATAAACCAGACGACCACGTTAGTTGTACTGTGTCTTAGTTATTACCTTAACACAGCCATACATAATGTTAACTCCCCAGGAGGGAGGGAGGAAGGCCCACAAATTAACATTTACTAACAATACAAACCAGACGACCACGTTAGTTGTACTGTGTCTTAGTTATTTTTAATGACAGCCATATATAATGTTAATCTACTACAGGAGGGAGGAAGGCCCCACAAATTAACATATACTAACAATAATAACCAGACGGTTAATGTTAGTTGCAATTGTGTCTTAGTTATTACCTTAACACAGCCATACATAATGTGTTAACTTACCAGAGGGAGGGATAAGGTCCACAAATTAACATTTACTAACAATAATAAACTAGACGTACATAGTTAGTTGTACCTGTGTCTTAGTTATTACCTTAATACAGCCATACATAATGTTAATCAACATTTACTAATAATAAACCAGACGACCACGTTAGTTGTACTGCGTCTTAGTTATTACCTTAACACAGCCATACATACGTTAACTTACCAGGAGGGAGGAGGAAGGCCCTACAAATTAAACATTTACTACCACACAAACCAGACGACCACGTTAGTTGTACTGTGTCTTAGTTATTACCTTAACACGGCCATACATAATGTTAACTTACCACAAGGGAGGGAGGAAGGCCCACAAATTAACATTTACTAACAATAATAAACCAGACGACCACGTTAGTTGTACTGTGTCTTAGTTATTACCTTAACACAGCCATACATAATGTTAACTTACCAGGAGGGAGGAAGGAAGGCCCACAAATTAACATTTACTAACAATAATAAACCAGACGGCCACGTTAGTTGTACTGTGTCTTAGTTATTACCTTAACACAGCCATACATAATGTTAACTTACCAGGAGGGAGGGAGGAAGGTCCACAAATTAACATTTACTAACAATAATAAACCAGACGGCCACGTTAGTTGTACTGTGTCTTAGTTATTACCTTAACACAGCCATACATAATGTCAACTTACCAGGAGGGAGGGAGGAAGGCCCACAAATTAACATTTACTAACAATAATAAACCAGACGACCACGTTAGTTGTACTGTGTCTGAGTTATTACCTTAACACGGCCATACATAATGTTAACTTACCAGGAGGGAGGGAGGAAGGAAGGCCCACAAATTAACATTTACTAACAATAATAAACCAGACGACCACGTTAGTTGTACTGTGTCTTAGTTATTACCTTAACACAGCCTGGGGAGAACCACGAGAAAAGACGGTGTGAGCCGGTAGTTGTAGGGAGGATTATTAGAATAACTGGTGCAACCAATACTAACTCATACCAGTGAAACATACATTTGCAACATCAAAGAGCAAGAAACTGACAGGGCCTGAGAATGAAGAACTTAATATATGTTACGGGGTAAACAAGAAGGCTTTAGTATTCCTCCACATAGTATACTGTACTGTACATGCAGAATTCTTCATTCAAGTTTGTCACCATTAATTCAGCAAGTTTCTCACCTGGACTGTTTTCAGGCAGGGATTCATCAGAGGGTATTTTGAGGTCTCCTGCATGTCATTATACTACCATATTCTCAGGTCACTTATCTGCCCGACAACAGCAGCATTATGTACCACACAAACTTCAATAAGTCTGAAAAATAATGATGAAACAGAATATTTATACATTTCTTAATCTGTTATTTCTGTAAATTTACCCAAACAAGTGAAAGCCTGGGAAATATTAAAATTCAGTTATACAATTTTATTTTCATGTGACAAGTGACAAGAGGTCAAATATAAAACAATCTAGAATTGTTCACACACTGAAAAATTTGTCATATTTAAAGCTAATATATTTCACAAAACAGATGCTGTAAAATATAAATGTTAATGATACAAAATGTACCTCTGAAGGTGGGGTGCATTACCGAGAGTAGCGGAGGACGTGTGGCGGTGGGCATGGCTGACCGTGTCCTTGATTCTGCCCACACCTTGGTAGACACTTACTTTCCACCTCATGATGGGGACCTTCACGATTCAGGTATGTTAGGCGAGATGATACTATGCTAGCCACTTCGAACATATTTTATGGCATATAAGACGCACGTTTTTGTCAGAAAAATGGCTCTATAAATCAGCCTGCATCCTATAAAATATTATGTGAAGTTGCAGTCTTCTGTAAGCTATTGATCCCTGTCTCCAGTAGGCTAAATTTTACCCAACCCAACTCCAGAATTAGAAATATGTTATTACTTACCTAGGTAAACACATTATTATTTTTAATTAATTAAAAAATAATTGTTTTAAATGTAAAAGATCGATCTATAACTACTCTGTACTGTACTGATGATAACCTGAGACAATTAACATCCATATGGCAGACACCCAACTCTTCAGAGGTAGCTAAGCAGTAACCATTTCTGAACTCTTATATGCATTACAATCTATTAATGCTATACCTGCAACATTTATTTTTCAATCTACAAATACCTGATACAAATGTAGATTTACAGATAACTTTCTTCTCACATTTGCATTTGTTAACATAGCTGGCAACATTGTAGCCAGGTTAGACTCATCACTGTAACCACTAGGCTACTGGGCCAAGGTGTGAGGTGTTATGGTTGTTTTTCAACACGTATTTTTGGGTGGATATATGTAACTTTCTTCATTTCATTTTACTCAGTTACATGCACACACCATCCTACATACATATTGTGATAAAAGTAAAATAAATGATTGTCCTAAGGGCAAACACATAAAGGGAATACACATTTCTTTGCACGAGTTAGCTGGTCCAGTGGGGGAGCAGGAGGACGGCACAGCTGTTGATGGGAGGGGGGAGCACTGCTAGGGAATCAGCAGAGGTAGCATCTCCATTGCAATGGTGAACAGGGAGTACAGATGTCGGTAATTCCTTGATATATACAAAGACCCTATTCCTACCAGGAATTCAATTAATGTGTGTGATATGTCACACACCCTGATATGGATTCCAACCCTGATGACTCTGCAGATGTCACTCCAATACCATCACCCACTAGGTAAAACCTCTACCACCACCTCCATCATTTTGTCTACCCAAGTTGATGTGCAGTAGACCCTTGCCATTCGCGAGTTTGCGATTTGCGATTTCGACGATTCACGGTAAGCAGATGGTGGCTAGCTTGTGAGCCTTTTCCCGAGCACAATGAGTCACCCCGTGCAGCATCTCGTGTTGTACTCTCAAAACTTTAGTGTTTCTGTATGAAATGGCCCCTAAAAGACTGCCTAGAGTCAATGCTAGTGGAGTGAAATGTAAAAGGCAGAAGCCAGTGAAGACCCTGACAAAGAAAGTTTTATTATTAGATAAGTTAAAGAAGGGGATGAGTGCTGCTGCGGCTGGTCAGTTGTTTGGTATAGGTATACAGTAGTGCACTGAGGTAGTATAAGTTGCTATTTGTGGTTTTGCCAATTCTTGGAACCTATCCCTCATGAATGGCAAGGGTCTACTGTACTGTATCTGCTTTTAATGTTAAGCACACTGAACTGTACACTTGCTTTATCTATTATTTTAAAATACCGGGTTATCTTCTTTCACTCCTACACAGTGCAAGTCCTTCCCTCACTCCTACACAACCCTACAAGTCCTTTCCTCACACCTATACACTGCAAGTCCTTCCCTCACTCCTACACAATACTAGAAGTCCTTCCCTCATTTCTACACAACACTGCAAGTACTTCCCTCACTCCAACACAATACTAGAAGTCCTTCCCTCACTTCTACACAATACTACAAGTCCTTCTTTCACTCCTACACAACATACCAAGTCCATCCCTCACTCCTACACAACATACCAAGTCCATCCCTCACTCCTACACAACATACCAAGTCCATCCCTCACTCTTATAAACTTTATTTAACACTTTATATACATACAGCTGCACTCAATTAGATGAGAAATTTTGTAAGTACCTTTGTAATTTAATGTGCTTCATATCTGGATGGCGGAGTGCATGAAGATACTCCACAATAATGAAAACATCTACTCGGGGTAAGTTTCTTGCATCTGCCTTCTTGAACCCAGGAAATAGTTGTCCAACATTCCCGCCTGACTGGTCCTGTAAATAAATAGTTCATATTAAGTTCTTGTGCTTGCCTGTGGAAATGTTTCGGGAGATGATAGCTGGAACGTGACAATAAATAATAAATAAAACGTTTGCCCTCCTGGAAACAGCAAAAAAAATCATGGTAATTTTTTAATTTGTGATTTATTATGATCGCAGACTCAACTTTTTTTCGATTTTAATTCATACTCCCTACATCATAGTGATCAATTATTAGAAAATTACTTATTTTCTGCACAATCATTAACCAAATACAGAGCCAACACTTCAGTACACGGAGAGACATCCCCGTACACCGCCAGACACTTCCGTACATTAAGAAACTCCGAACTGCATACAGTAGTTTATAAAAAAATTATCCACTTGTAATACCTGTACTTTATCACAATTATTATTACACGCATAACATTTTTACAGGCCACGAATATTTACTTTCAGCAATGCCATTAACTTATTGATAAACTCATTTCCTGTTCTATAATAATTCGCCTAGTGACCCAACATTCACTCAAGGCTCCAAGCTAGGTCATTGACGTCACTACAGGGGCCACGTCACATATCCTAAACCTTACACAGCCGGCCTAAACCTCGTGGTCAATTTGTATTTGACATACTCGGGGGAATAAACACTGATGTTTTAATGTAATATTTTTAACTACGTGTGAAGTTTTATTGCAATTAGTGTCCAACAAATAGACTGATCTCGTCATTTTGTGTTTCTGATAACCAGACAGACGAACGAATGAACAAGCACTGGCAATTGTAATCAAGGGCCATTATGTCTGAGGGTTGGCGACCACGGCCCTCCCTAAATTTTACTATTTTTATTTATTTATTTATTTATTTATTTTTTCTTTTTTTTTGGGGGAGGGTGTTTACCAATCTTGCTAGAAGTTATTTCTCCGAGGACCACCCATCCCAGTCTCTGCCTTCCCCTGGCTCTCCTTCCATTAATTCTACCCAACAATATCATTAATAAACTACAACAACAATTTAAAATATGTCTACCTTAAGTGATAATTTTTGGTAGTATATCTATCTAACTAGTCCAGGTAATCTCCCTCACCTGAAATAATGGCGGGGAAATATTTAAGGCAAAGCAGATAAATTTTACTTTCGAACCTTCAAAGTCCTGCCTCTGCCTCGTCCAGTTCAAGACGTCTTCAGTCAATCTGGGAGTCGAACCCGAGGACTCCGTCATCCACATCGGGTACCTTTTGCCACTGTTGAAATGTATATATGTCAGTGTCAGGACATATATAAACTGTTTACATAATATATGTACGGTTTAATGGCACTCTGATCTTAGAAACTACAAATTACCTGGTATCTTAGAAACTATACAAATTACCTGGTATCTTAGAAACTATACAAATTACCTGGCGTCCTATCCTCTATAAACTATATAAATTAGTATCTTGGCCCAGGCACTTGACAAATCCCTGAAATATAACTTACTCTCGTATCAAACAGTACCCCAAGTCTTGACAGGTACAGGTCCACCATCTTGCTACTTGTCCACACATTACCCCAAGTCTTGACAGGTACAGGTCCACCATCTTGCTACTTGTCCACACATTACCCCAAGTCTTGACAGGTACAGGTCCACCATCTTGCTACTTGTCCACACATTACCCCAAGTCTTGACAGGTACAGGTCCACCATCTTGCTACTTGTCCACACATTACCCCAAGTCTTGACAGGTACAGGTCCACCATCTTGCTACTTGTCCACACATTACCCCAAGTCTTGACAGGTACAGGTCCACCATCTTGCTACTTGTCCACACATTACCCCAAGTCTTGACAGGTACAGGTCCACCATCTTGCTACTTGTCCACACATTACCCCAAGTCTTGACAGGTACAGGTCCACCATCTTGCTACTTGTCCACACATTACCTCTCACAAAGTGTGCGGCCAGACACACTGCCTCACTCTCCTGTACAGTACTCACGCAGTTGTGAATAAGTTACCCTCAATGTACACAACTAAACAAAGAAGTTATTTGAAATACTCTAAGATTCAATGCCATAATATCCTGACCACTGGGGTTAGTTATACTGACCCTTTGTGAACTCTACTCTAATCCTTTTGCGCTACCACTCACAGGAGGAGTATGGGGTGCACAGTAAACTTGCCGCCGCTATCCCATTTTGTGATCGATTTACTGTACACTGGCTCTCAATTTAAGCTAGGATGGAGTTCAAAACTGTTTGATGACTTTTAAGGCACTAATGTTTGCTGAGCCTAAGTATTTGGCTAACCTACTATTTCCACTGATTACACATATTGAAATGATTTTACATAGTAGTGATGATCCTTCACGCCTTGAGGAGCCTAGAGCAGTACATGTATCCAGGTGATGGATACTCAAAAATATTTAAGACGTCCCAGCTCCCCGAGTTGGTCTCAACTTGAGCTACGACGTTCCTATGATGTTGTTGTAACTCGATCCTCAAAACAGAATTGGCCCATGGGAGCGGCCATGTTTGATGACAGCTCAAAGTTATTACAACTATTTAGAATACATTGAAAGTGTAAACTGAAATACAGACAGTTGCAAGTGAAAGTTTCAATGTTTATCTGAACCTCAGAAGTGTAGGAGGTTGACGCAGTGTACAGTAAGGTCCAAAGAGGTGAAGCTTGGATTGGGTTGGGTTAGGTTAGGTTAATGTGGAAAAATCGGATTAAAACTGGTTATGATTCAACAAATTTACTTACAAAATCCATAATTGAATCTATAGTTTTGCGTTACCTGTAAAAATGCCAATTATGAAACGATTTATAATAACAATGTATATAAATACCGACGTATTTATGGCTGTTTTTCATATTATAATCATGACATTCTTATACACACTAAACAGAGTCGGTAATCACTAGGGAGTCAATTTTTAACACGATCGACTTGTAAACAGAAGACATGACGTTCAGACTGTACTTTATTGTGTAAGGTGAGAGAAAACCGCAAATAGCACCTCCCTCCCCCCCTCTCCTCCTCCCCATCGTCAGCTGGGAAAAAACTTGTCCTCCTCACTTACACTAACACCGGATATGATGTCATGAGTGTTGGCGGGAATATGACTGGGCAGGGCTGACGGGGAGTAGAGGAGGAGGGATGGTGGGGAGTAGGTGGAAGGGGGTGGTGTAGTGGAATGCTTGTGGGAGACGGGGGTGGAGGGCTGGTAGGGTATGGGGGCAGTAAAGTGGCGGTAAGGGCTGGCAGGGAGCGGGGGTGGTTAGGTGGGGGGCGGGGTGAACATTTTTAGAAGACCATACAGTTGATCGCCCGAGACAACTCTTGCGTGGAATGAACTATGAAAATGGCTTGGTAATCTTGCTATCTGCTGACGTCACAACAGGGGTTGGGGGGGGAGCTAATATTTGCGGATTTATCGTCGGTCGACATGATGGCACCTCAGTGAAGATGATAATATAGTCACACAGGTTTACATTGGTCCATTGATATGTACAGAAATGGTGGTAAACAGTAATTCGATTCGACTAAAGTTGCCAAAACTCATTACTACAGGGCCCTTCATCCTGCCGGACACACTGATCAGTAAGGCCACAGCTATGATAAACGAGTAAGTTAAGTTTCGCTGCCAGGCTGGACTGGACCTTCTCTTAGGAAAATATCAACAAAGAACAAGTTAGCTACGCTCTTACTCCTTTCCTCTTAGTTTTGTTTACTGTATATGTTTATCTATCAAGTTATCCCTACGTCATGTTGCTCTCAGCATAGGTGAGAACAGATGTCTTGTAACAAGCCAACAAACAATACATAATACAGATTGTTTTTGTTGTATTTTGTTTATTATTTACAAATACTTCTAAACCAAGTGTCTGGTTAGTCATGATAATGGTGGAGGTAAAGGTCTCATATATTTCACTACAATGTTCTGAGGTTTTGTTTACAAACATTCGTACATAAACAATGACTTTTATTTTCCGCTGCGTGAATCAACACCGCGGGAGGCTACCATCAATTGTACCCAACAAGAGCAGCTTGGACAATATGAACAGGTAAAGAATGATTGTATTAAAAGTTTTTTATCGTTCAACGAACCTAGAGAAAAATTCAGTGTTATTTTGTATTCTGTGCACCGCCCTACAGCGACCAAAGGGGATTACTCCCAAATTACTTGAATTTACCTGAGCCATCACGTAAAATGCGTATCCTGCTCTTCCTACATGTTGTGTTGCGCAGTGAGTGATGCGCAGAGCCACCTGATCACGGGTGACCGCCGTGGGTAACAGCGCTAGTCATAGAAAACCGAACTGTGAAGCGGGGATCAATAGCAAGCAAGACATTCCTTGTAGCTCCTGCCCGGGGCTGCCACTCTGCCCCCCTCAGGAAAATTTAGACGACCCTGGACCAAGAGTCTCAAAGGGTCTAGAGATGAGTTTCCCCCTAACTGGAGATGCGAGAACCTCTCTAACTCAGGTTCCTTAAGTTACGCCAAAATGAAGGCAACCGAATTATCCAGATGTATCGCACCCAGACCCTTCCTCTATTGTACTGAGTTACGGGAACAACAAAGCTGTCACGAGGGTGTCACGTCATCAGGATCCACAGGACAGCCGTGACAGAGTTTCTTAGTACAGCGGTTCATAAACTGGGGTTGCTCCACTCCATTGCCTCAGCCAGACGAGAGCAGGCAACAGTACATCTTGAGAACTGTAGCACCGAGGTCTGTTATAATGTGTTCATTTATCTATATATTATAACAGGAGGAGGTTGGTCCTCTTATAGTTCCGGATGATGATAAATGTTCTTCACGGGTCAAGGTGATCATACATTGTCGCAGTTGAAGGCAATAGCGAGTCATGACCATAATATACTAGATGGGAAATCCACTGTAAGAGCGTTAAATACTGCCCTTGTCTGGCCCTGCGGTGCGTGTCGGCCAATTACTGTCTCTGTCAACTGTTGATATTGGCTGCCCCCTCTTGTCACCCTCGCACCCTCTCTCTCTCTAAGAACTCTACACCTCCCCACTCTCTCCCCCTTCACTCCCCCTCTCTAAAGACCCTGCATCTCACTCTCTAAGAATCCCGTACCACTCCCTCTATTCCCCTCCCCCTCTCTCCCTCAGAAACGGCCCCCAGACTCAATGAGGCTCGTCAATTAACAGTGTAAACTATACTACTATTTGAAGGCGTCCTTATCCTAACGCAAGGTGGCTGAAAACACGAAAAACACACTAGTACGCATTTTATTGGTCTGTCCTTGGTCTAACTGACTTGCTGTTTATCATTGTCTGTATACCTGCACTGTCCCTCTACAGTGTATACCTGCACTGTCTCTACATTGTATACCTGCACTGTCCCTCTACAGTGTATACCTGCACTGTCTCTACATTGTATACCTGCACTGTCCCTCTACAGTGTATACCTGCACTGTCCCTCTACAGTGTATACCTGCACTGTCTCTACATTGTATACCTGCACTGTCCCTCTACAGTGTATACCTGCACTGTCCCCTCTACAGTGTATACCTGGGCACTGTCCCTCTACAGTGTATACCTGCACTGTCCCTCTACAGTGTATACCTGGGCACTGTCCTCTACAGTGTAAACCTGCACTGTCCCTCTACAGTGTATACCCACTGTCCCTCTCACAGTGTATACCTGCACTGTCCCTCTACATTGTATACCTGCACTGTCCCTCTGCAGTGTATACCTGCACTGTCCCTCTACAGTGTATACCTGCACTGTCCCTCTACAGTGTATACCTGCACTCCTCTACATGCTACCCGCACTGTCCCTCTATTACTGTATACCTGCACCATCCCTCTACAGTGTATACCTGCACTGTCCTCTACAGTGTATACCTGCACTGTCCCTCTACAGTGCATACCTGCACCAAGTCCCCACAGTGCATACCTGCACTGTCCCTCTACAGTATACCTGGCACTGTCCTCTCTATTACTGTATACCTGCACTGTCCCTCTACAGTATACCTGCATTCGTCCCTCTACATTGTATACCTGCACTGTCCCTCTACAGTGTATACCTGCACTGTCCCTCTACAGTGTATACCTGCACGTCCTCTACATTGTATATACCCACTGTCCTCTACAGTGTATACCTGCACTGTCCCTCTACATGCGTATACCTGCACTGTCCCTCTACAGTGTATACCTGCACTGTCCCTCTACAGTGTATACCTGCACTGTCCCTCTACAGTGTATACCTGCACTGTCCCTCTACAGTGTATACCTGCACTGTCCCTCTACAGTGTATACCTGCACTGTCCCTCTACAGTGTATACCTGCACTGTCCCTCTACAGTGTATACCTGCACTGTCCCTCTACAGTGTATACCTGCACTGTCCCTCTACAGTGTATACCTGCACTGTCCCTCTACAGTGTATACCTGCACTTGTCCTCTACCTGTGTATGTATACCTGCACTGTCCCTCTACAGTGTATACCTGCACTGTCCCTCTACAGTGTATACCTGCACTGTCCTCTACATTGTATACCTGCACTGTCCCTCTACAGTGTATACCTGCACCTGTCCTCTACATTGTATACCTGCACTGTCCCTCACTGTCTCTACATTGTATACCTGCACTGTACTCTACCTGCACTGTCTTGTATACCTGCACTGTCTCTACATTGTATACACTGCACTGTCTCTACATTGTATACCTGCACTGTCCTCTACATTGTATACCTGCACTGTCTCTACATTGTATACCTGCACTGTCTCTACAGTGTATACCTGCACTGTCCCTCTACAGTGTATACCACTTCCCTCTACATTGTATACCTGCACTGTCCCTCTACAGTGTAACACTCTACATTGTATAAACCATGCACTGTCCCTACATTACCTGCACTGTCCCTCTACCTGCACTGTACAGTGTATACCTGCACTGTACCTGTATACCTGCACTGTCCCCTACGTGTATACTGTCCCTCTACAGTGTATACCTGCACTGTCCCTACATTGTATACCTTGTATACCTGCACTGTCTCTACTCTACATTTGTAACTGTCTACCTGCACTGTCTCTACACATACCTTGTATACCTGCACTGTCTCTACATTGTATACCTGCACTGTCTCTACATTGTATACCTGCACTGTCCCTCTACATTGTATACCTGCACTGTCTCTACATTGTATACCTGCACTGTCCCTCTACATTGTATACCTGCACTGTCTCTACATTGTATACCTGCACTGTCTCTCTACATTGTATACCTGCACTGTCCCTCTACATTGTATACCTGCAGTGTGAGGGAGTATGAGGGAGTATGGGGCCAGTGTGAGAGATAAGGTGCAAAGAGTAATGGACCGGGAGATCGTTTATTTACACTGACTCCTCCCCATCCCTTAAATCTCCCCCAGAAGACAATATTTTCCCCCAAAAGAACTCAATCAACCCCAATTTTTCCCCCACCAATAACTCTAAAGTCACCCCCCCACACACACGAACAGTAAAATTACCCTAACAGAGTCTCGATTTTTTCCCTGTCACTTGTTTATTTATTTACGTCACTATGGCACCAACATTCCTGACTGGCACCTGACAGACGCCCCGTGACAATGTGGGAGGTCTTTTGTTTGTCACGCCTCTCTCTACTTTCTCCCCTGTAGCACTGACAGCGGGAGAGATGACATAAATAAGGTCACCTGAAGTTTAGACACATCAGCTTATTTCACCTGATGATTAAACACCCTAATGTTACCTTGGGGGGGGGAGGTTAGGTTAGGGTTCTTAATTATCAGGTGAAATAAGCTGGGGTGCCTATCTTCACGTGCTACAAAAGTGCAGGTCCATCAACACTCCACATAAACATCAACTTTCCACATAAACAAACATTCCTCTGAAACAAACACTCTACATAAACATTCCCCAAACATCAACATTCCACATAAACATTAACACACTAACTACAACAATTCTCAGTTTTCACACACACACGAACACAACATTCAGAGCAACATTTCTTCAGTGTTTTGCCTCGTAACTTATAACTCACTTTACATCTTGTTGAAATCTTTAGCGGCAGTTTTCAGTCTACATTTACACGAGACAGCCGTATTTTACACCTCTTTGCTTTTTATTTACTTTCTCGTTTACTGAATCATCCGTGTGTCGGTTACGCTTAAGTGGAATTTTAATATATTAGTCTTTCGAACGAGGAAATATTAGTTCGTACCAATAAAATATGGCTGTACTTTACTGGTCCCTCGTATGTCTAACAGCGATGCCAAATACTAGTTTATCCTCAGGCGTTTTGAAACTTCTCTGGATTACATTTTTGGTTGAGTAAATAATGTTTATAGTAAAAATAGAATAGTTATTATATTCGTGGTCCCTGAAAGAGGACTGATAAGAAGCACAAAACAAAAACATTACTTATACTCGTAGACTCTGAGACCTCTACCAACTCTGTCAAATACTCGTTTATCATGAGCCTTTTAAAAGTGTCTTCTTGAGTACGTCACACAAGAAGAGCTGCCTCAGGTGCTAATAATACCACTACCAAGACAACCCATCACATTTACCTAAACTTGTCCTCCATAAGATTAAAAATATCTCCCGCGCCTGGCGCACCTTCGCCAGCGAAGAGACGGACCGTGTATCTGGTGTGTTTATGTGACACCTCCGCCCCGCTTCTTGCTAATGGTGTGCGTGTCGTTGTTTACAGCTGATTAAATTTATGAAATTGTTTGTCGATATATTAGCATAGCAAAAATAATAAATTGGTAAGAGGAGTTGTATACAAATCATGGTATTCTAAAGTAAACAGTCTGAAGTGTGAGATGCCCCCAGACGCTGCCTTAATGCAATTCATATACACAAGTTTCCCGCTTCCTCGCCTAAAGTGCATATGCTCGCATTCGACGCCTTCGTACACTGCACCAGCTACCCATGACCAGTGACGTCACTGTGACGTCATGCCTAAAGCGAGCCTGGAGATAGTCGAGTATGTCTCTGCCAAGATCAAGATGGTGTAGTTGAGTTTTCTCGACCTGTTTGGCCTGAACTTGGTGAAAAAACCAACTCTCACATTACAGGAACTTTACTGTGAACTCATTATTATAACAAGTGTTTAGTAGTGCGAAGATGAAGTACTTGGCGGCGATTATCGTCGGTCCGAAGGATGTTCGTCCGAGAGCCAGTCAACCTGCCTCACTTACCGTAATAAATAAATGAACTGAAAATATTTAAACAAGAATTTTTTTCAGCATTTAGAACTATTTTTGCCAACTGCATCATAGTGATACATTGACGGTGAGTACAGTTACCTGTCCTCAACCACCACCACCATGCCCACCACAACCACCACCTCCTCCATCATCACAACCACTACCATCACCACACCCACCACCATCACTACCACCACCAATGTCACCATCAGTACCAGCACCACCATCCCAGCTGGAATAATAACTTGTTAGTAAACCCAACCGGACGAAATTAGGCGTGGTCGGCCAGTGACGTAACAGGCTGTGGGTGTGGTTGGCATCCCTCAATGGTGCTAATGTGGGCACCCCGCACCTCCACCCACACTCGCGTCCATCATCTATCCTCTCCACCCACCACCCACCCAGAAGCTACTATATGTCTTCTGCCTCAACACACCACCACCCACTCCCAACACCCACTCACTCCACCCACCTCCATCTCACTCCCCCCCCCCCCCCCCTCCCTAATTTACTCCCTAACGAGTTACATGTCTTTCAGTAATTACCTAACTAGACACACTCAGGTAATGCTAAATATCAAATTCCTCAGGTATTTTCACATTTACAAGCATAAGTAACACAGTCAGCTTCACGTATTTCACTCTTCTGTTTACAATAATTAATAAACGTCTTGTTAAGGTTTTTGTACTTTATTGTCGATGCTCTTTTGTTTCACTTTTCTCTCAGGATTTGATTTCCATTTATTCCCTGTTATCTATACTTGTGTTTATATCTCCTAGTGCTGCTGCTGTTATTGTTATTATGGTTATTGTTATTATGGTTATTGTTGTTATTGTTAGTTATTATTGTTATTATTATATTAGTCGTGTCCAGCCTATCACTCTCCTCTCTCTTTCGTTACTATGAGGTCACCATTTGACCTCTGCCACTAGCGATAGCGGAGTGCCAGGCCCCAGAGACGGGTCCTTGGCGCCCTAAATGGCTCTCTAGGGCGATGGAGGAGGCCGACATATAGGCCAGTGATAGTGGCTGGCACTGAGGGGTGTTACCGAGACGTGGCACTGAAGGTTGACATTGATGGGTGGCACTGAAGGTTGACACTGAGGGGTGGCACTGAAGGTTGACACTGAGGGGTGGCACTGAAGGTTGACACTGAGGGGTGGCACTGAAGGTTGACACTGAGGGGCGGCACTGAAGGTTGACACTGAGGGGTGGCACTGAAGGTTGACACTGAGGGTGGCACTGAAGGAGGGGTGGCACTGAAGGTTGACACTGAGGTGGCTGAGTTGACACTGAGGTGGCACTGAAGGTTGACATTGATGGGTGGCACTGAAGGTTGACACTGAGGGCGGCACTGAAGGTTGACACTGAGGTGGCACTGAGTTGACACTGAGGGTGGCACTGAAGGTTGACACAGAGGGTGGCACTGAAGGTTGTGGCACTGAAGGTTGACATTGATGGGTGGCACTGAAGGTTGACACTGAGGGTGGCACTGAAGGTTGACATTGATGGGTGGCACTGAGGTTGACACTGAGGGTGGCACTGAAGGTTGACATGATGATGGGTGGCACTGAAGGTTGACACTGAGGGTGGCACTGAAGGTTGACACTGAGGGTGGCACTGAAGGTTGACGCAGAGGGTGTGGCACTGAAGGTTGACACTGAGGGTGGCACTGAAGTTGACACTGAGGTGGCACTGAAGGTTGACACTGAGGGGTGGCACTGAAGGTTGACACTGAGGGGTGGCACTGAGTGGCACTGAAGGTTGACACAGAGGTGACTGAAGGTTGACACTGGTGTACTGAAGGTTGACATTGATGGGGTGGCACTGAAGGTTGACACTGAGGGTGGCACTGAAGACTGAGGGTTGACACTGAGAGGGTTGACACAGAGGGGTGGCACTGAAGGTTGACACTGAGGTGGCACTGAAGGTTGACACAGAGGGTGGCACTGAAGGTCGACACTGAGGGTGGCACTGAAGGTTGACACTGAGGGGTGGCACGAAGGTTGACACTGAGGTGGCACTGAAGGTTGACACTAGGGTGGCATTGAGGGGTGGCACTGAAGGGTGGCACTGAAGGCTGACACAAAGGGGTGGCATTGAAGGGTGGCACTGAAGGTTGACACTAAGGGGTGGCATTGAGGGGTGGCACTGAAGGGTGGCTGCATGACACTACATTCCATCCCGCCCAACTGTTTCCTATCTGACACGGTCCTCACACCCCAAAGTTAGCAAGTGGAAAAAAACAACAATAAATGATTTTCCACTGGACAAAATCATACCGCCTGTATTAATAAGGTGGACAAAATCTCGCTAACACAATACTAAATGGACAAAATCCTCTCCAAATGATTATCCCCGGACAAAATACTTCCCCAGTTTATTTCAATCGGACAAAACCTTCCCTACATCATCTTGTACAGAAAAAAAAAATCAAACCGGAATAAATGAAACATTTTCGAAGCATAGTATGAAACACACCGAGTCGAGATAAGTTTCGAATCAGCTTCATTTATAAACACATCCTCTTGACCACGTAAACACCATTTTCAGTCACAAACAAACATCTAACTACAAGTGACGTAGTTTCATACAGAGTTACAATAGCCAAGTGTTGAATGGCTATCGTAGATTACCCAACAGTTTATTTTGAAAGGTGAGTGTGGGTTTATTTTCTGGTGTACAGGAAGTGTCAGTCTGTTTGAGCGGCAGTGATCGTCAGTCTCTCAGTGGTATCAGCTGTTAATGAGAGCAGCTGACCACGAGAGCATTAGATGAATTCACCGATTATATCTTTTGGTGTGTGTGTGTGTGTGTGTGTGAGGGGGTGTCTGGTAGTAAGTGTACATTGGCCAAGTAATAAAGAGAGGAGGGAAGGAGGAGGAGGAGGAAGAGGAGTAGGATGAGGAAGAAGAGAAGGAAGAGGTAGGGTAAGACAAGTTATAACTCAATCTTCACTACCACCCTTCTTGCTCCTGGTGGTGGCGCTGGTGGAGGTTGGAACACACACACTATTTTTAACCCCAGCAGCGTCTCTCTCACCATATATAGCACAAACTCTTACCTACACCTGTTAACTCACCTTCCCTACCTCACGTTAAGAAGGTAATTTGGCTTCACCTAGAGTCACCCAATACCTGAAGGCGACTATATTTCAGGTTGTTGGGACACCTCCAGTTACTACCTACCTGAGAGTCGGTCATTGCTTCTTCAGGAGGTAGTGGGTTCTCTCTGGCAGGAGGATCTTAGGTAAAAATGACCCTTAAAACCCCTATATTGACGAAGGATACAGATACTGAAGGAGGATTTGAGAACTTACGGATTCTTCAAACAAATTTTTCTAATTTTACTTCGCGTCTCACTCAGATCTTGGCGAGGAGGAAACACGAAAGCTATAAACGTCACCCACATGGAAAACACTTAACCAAGGGGCCACATCTACCTCAACAACAAACCAATTCAAGGATTAACTGTTTAGCTCAATAAAACCATTAAACAAAATATTCTTCAAAACACGAGATCAAGTTTTTTTTTAGAGTTTCCCAGGTAAAGATCCTTAACGTCTCCTAGGTTAAAATCGCCTTAGTACCTGGAGACATGAGGACGTATCTAAGTGGTTAACGTTAAGCTAGTATCTAAGTGGTTAACGTTGAGCTAGTATCTAAGTGGTTAACGTTAAGCTAGTATCTAAGTGGTTAACGTTAAGCTAGTATCTAAGTGGTTAACGTTAAGCTAGTATCTAAGTGGTTAACGTTAAGCTAGTATCTAAGTGGTTAACGTTAAGCTAGTATCTAAGTGGCTAACGTTAAGCTAGTATCTAAGTGGTTAACGTTAAGCTAGTATCTAAGTGGCTAACGTTAAGCTAGTATCTAAGTGGCTAACGTTAAACTAGTATTAAGTGGCTAACGTTAAGCTAGTATCTAAGTGGTTAACGTTAAGCTAGTATCTAAGTGGTTAACGTTAAGCTAGTATCTAAGTGGCTAACGTTAAGCTAGTATCTAAGTGGCTAACGTTAAGCTAGTATCTAAGTGGCTAACGTTAAACTAGTATTAAGTGGCTAGCGTTAAGCTAGTATCTAAGTGGCTAACGTTAAGCTAGTATCTAAGTGGCTAACGTTAAGCTAGTATCTAAGTGGTTAACGTTAAGCTAGTATCTAAGTGGCTAACGTTAAACTAGTATTAAGTGGCTAGCGTTAAGCTAGTATCTAAGTGGCTAACGTTAAGCTAGTATTAAGTGGCTAACGTTAAGCTAGTATCTAAGTGGTTAACGTTAAGCTAGTATCTAAGTGGCTAAGGTTAAACTAGTATTAAGTGGCTAAAGTTAAGCTAGTATCTAAGTGGCTAACGTTAAGCTAAATCAACAATATAATCTCTCCCCCTCTCCACACTCCACAACCTATCACTAACTTTACTCTCTCTTCTTATCTTCCTACTTCATCATCTTCCCATCTATCTCCCCACCTACACGGTAACTTCCTTACTTCTGCTCATATGTTCAGTACCTCTCTCCTTCTCCCCAGTGCCTCTCTCCTTCTCCCCAGTGCCTCTCCCCATCTCCCCAGTGCCTCTCTCCTTCTCCCAGTGCCTCCCCATCTCCCAGTGCTCCTCCTCCCAGTGCTCTCCCTCCCCATCTCCCCAGTGCTCTCCTTCTCCCCCAGTGCCTCTCTCTCCTTCTCCCCAGTGCCTCTCCTTCTCCCCAGTACCTCTCCCCATCTCCCCAGCGCCCCCTCCTTCTCCCCAGTGCCCTCCTTCCCCTAAGTGCCTCCATCTCCCCAGTGCTCCCTCCTTCTCCCCCAGTGCCTCTCCTTCTCCCCCAGTGCTCCTCCCCATCTCCCCAGTGCCTCTCTCCTTCTCCCTAGTGCCTCCCATCTCCCCAGTGCTCCTCCTTCTCCCAGTGCCTCTCCCCCAGTGCCTCTCCCCATCTCCCCAGTGCCCTCTCTCCTTTCTCCCTAGTGCCCTCTCCCCCATCTCTCCCCCAGTGCTCCTCTCTCCATCTCCCCAGTGCCTCCCTCCCCAGTGCCTCTCCCATCCTCCCCAGTGCTCCTCTCTCTCCTTCTCCCCCAGTGCCTCTCCCTCCCCAAAGCTCTCCCCATCTCCCCCAGTGCCTCTCCTTCTCCCCAGTACCTCTCCCCATCTCCCCAGTGCCTCTCCTTCTTCCCCAGTGCCTCCCCCATCTCCCAGTGCCTCTCCTCCCCAGTGCCTCTCCCCATCTCCCCAGTGCCTCTCCTTCTCCCTCAGTACCTCTCCCATCCTCCCCCAGTGCTCCTCTCCCCCAGCACTCTCCATCTCCCCAGTGCCCTCTCCTTCTCCCCCAGTGCTCTCCCCATCTCCCCAGTGCCCCTCCCTCCCCCAGTACCTCCTCCCCCATCTCCCCAGTGCTCCCTCTCCTTCTCCCCAGTGCTCCTCCCATCTCCCCCAGTGCTCCTCTCCCCATCCCCAGTGCCTCTCTCCTCCCCCAGTACCTCTCCCCCATCTCCCCCAGTGCCTCCCCATCTCCCAGTACCTCTCTCCTTCTCCCCAGTGCCTCTCTCCTTCTCCCCAGTGCCTCTCCCCATCTCCCCAGTGCCTCTCTCCTCCCCAGTACCTCTCCCCATCTCCCCAGTGCCTCTCTCCTTCTCCCCAGTACCTCTCCCCACGAACATCAAGAAGGACGAGAGGGGACGTACACCCCTGACACATTGTTTACAAATACGTGTCGTGTTTACCTTAGGGCGTGTACCGGCAGTCCACCACCCCCCTCCACCCTCCCTCACCTCTGCCATCCGGAAACAGAAGCAATAATTACAGGTGTGGAGTGAGGAATATAGTGTAGGGAGTTAATTACAGGTGTGGAGTGAGGAATATAGTGTAGGGAGCTAATTACAGGTGTAGATTGAAGTGTATAGTGAAGGTGTATGGAAAGGTAATTTGGTGATATGATTTTGAGATAGCATTTTGATTACTGATTCAGGTGTTGGTATTACAGGTATGGTAAACACAAGCCCACACACACACGCGCGCACACACATCTCCCATACTCTACTCCTTTACTCCCTACATAAACAAACTCCCCCTCATTTCCCTTCCCTACAGGTAAGAGTGATAGAGGGACAGGTGAGAGGGAGGTGTAGGCTACCTCTCCTCCTCCTCCTCCCGACGCTGGTATTAAAATACTTGTAGTTTGACTCATGACTCTCCTTGTAGCTTATCTCCTTATATGTTTAAACTTGTCTGCTTCATCTGTCGCCACTCCTGTCTTTCTCTTCCACCCCCTCTGTCTTCCTCTGCCATCCCCCGTGTCTTCTTCCTTCCTCTGCCTGCTCCTGCCACCCCTCTGCCACCCTCTACTATCATCCTGCCATCATCTCTGTCACTTCCTCTGCCACCGCAGTGTTAAGCGCCAATACACGCAAAAGGAGAGGGGGAAGTTCGTCTGGCGTATAGGGGTTCTCCATCTGGCTCTCCTCCACTCCTACTAGGGCATAATCCCAAGACGAAAAATCCAAGATATTGTCCCACTGAACAAAATTCCAGTAAATACCAACTTCAACACTAAAATAATACTTCGGAAATAACAATAAATAGCAATACATTGTTATCAGTTTACATACGCATGCGCAGTTAGTGGAAAATGCCACCAATATAAATACGGACTCGGCGGAACACTTTGTAACCTAAAAGTTAAACCCGTAGTTAACGGTGACTAGAACACCAACATGGCAAGCACTCATGGTAGGTCGCTTTCTTAATATAAACTCGATAATATATTCACCTTCTCTTAAATCGAATCTCAAATACGATAAATATATCAAACTCCGGCTTCACATTCTTCTGTGATTAGTTTATAACTTGTTTCCCATAACTGACAGTGAGGGACGCTGTTGCTGGCGGATAACAGACCCAGTAATATTCTTTCGTTATTTAAATCGTTGTTTAATGTGTTCCAATAGTTAAAGAGAAATTAACACGTAAATCTTTGGGAGAATTTACCCCATGTACTGTAGGCGGGACACGAGGTTGTTCTAAAGTGCTGACGCCGCCTGTACAGATGATGACGTTGATGGTTTAACGTGATGCTGGCGCGCGCACACACACTGTATACGGTGGATATACAGTATACAGGAGGTGTCTGTCTGCCTTTCATACACCACGCGCGCTAGG